TGTATATATATACACACACAGTGTATATGTGTGTATACATATGTGTGTATATGTGTGTTCATAGATATGTGTATATATATATATATATATAAAGTATAAATGCTGCCTCTCTGCCTCTCTCTGCTGTCTCTCTATACGTACATGTATATATATGTATATATGTACATATATAAAATTTACATGGGAAGTTTTACTTTTAATATTTTGTAATACACACATTACTCTTTAGCCCCATTTTAGAATGCATAGTCTCCTATAGTACTTTGGTCTTTGGGGCTAGTGAGCTTAGACCTCATGGAGTTACTAGGTAGCCTTGGTCCCATCATATGACATCAATACTGGATGTTGCTGCTGGAGGAGAATCTTTCTCAGCTACTGCTGAGATGGAGAACCTCCTGGTGCGCCACTTCTTGCTTCCTGGTGGCTCATTCTCCTGACTTCTTGAAGTAACATTAAACAAGGTCATATTCTTCTTCTTCACCTAAAATGAATGAACAAGTACTCAGACAAAAAAAAAAGAAACTAAGGTCTGCATTTATTAGACATATGTCAATCTTGGGTGGGGCAGGCCATAGGCTTCTACCCTCATAGTACCTTTGTCTCTCACAGAACACTGCTGGATTGGGAGAAGTCAAACTAAGAGGTATTAGACTTGTTCCTAAAATGTGTGTCAGTTGAATCATATTTTAAGTGCCTTAACGGATCTGGCCATTTAAAGGAATATGTTATTAGTCCCTTTGTAAATCTGGATTTTTTCCAATGTCAGGCTTCCTTAATGTTCTTGTATCCTCATTCTAGTGTCCTAATTCAACTTGATGATTTTGGTGAAAGAAGAAACATTTTAAGTCATTTCCTTTGCTTTATGGCATAATGTGAAGAACTCTGGGATTGGAGAAGGGAGAACCTCTTTTTGAATCATATTCTTTTTATTACTTGTGTGACCTTGAGTAATTTGGGAAGTGGAAGTATTACTACTGGAAGATCACAACATTTTCAGTCCCCTTCCCCTGGGTTTTCACTAATAATAATGATGATGATGATAATAATAGCAAATAAATAATGATAAGAATAGCTAACATTTATATAGCACTTAATATATGCTGGACACTACTAAGCACAATTATTATCTCATTGGATCCTCACAACTCACCTGGGCAGGTGAGTGCTATTATAATCCCTATTTTACAGATAAGGAAACTGAGGCAGACAGGGGTTAAATTACTTACCCAAGGTCGTATAGCTAGTAATTGTCTGAGTCTGGATTTGAACTCAGGTCTTCAATCCCAGTACTCTATCCACTGTACCACCTAGTTGCCCAATAAACTTTTTGTTTACTGTTCAATGTGTGCAGTATTAAAGGATATCAGTTCTAGAGTTTACCATGTATAAAAAAGAAAAAAGGTGAATTTTTCAAAGAACAAACTTTATTCAATATGTAACATTAAAATTGTCAAATGTTTATCAGAATACAATCAAATGGAATTCTATTTCTTATCAACTAACAGTTTTATTTTTGGTTTAATTTTTCAAAGAGACACCTGCATATCATGTTTAGCTTCTAGTTGGATTGCTTGAGATTTGATTGAGAGTAAGACTGAGAATCCTGATTCACAATGATAAGTTGTTATAAATGCAATCAAAGAACTGGGCCTGCTTCTCCCACTGGAAAAAAAAAAGTTATGCAACATCTTTGATTTTTTTAAAACCAATTCACAGTTTCTGGTTACTGTAGAAATCAGTCAGCTCATTTTTCACTGGATCATAGTCACTGATCTTTTTATTTTTCTAGCTCTCTCTATTAAAAAAAAAGATTTTTTTTGGATGAACCTCATACATTTATTTTTGGTCAGAAATTATTCTTTCGACCATCTCATGCAAAGTTCTCAGTTGTACTAATTACCTCCCATTCCAGCACTGCCTCCATCTCCTCAATGCTCTCTCTCCAGTCCATAGGTTGGGTTTTTCTCCCCCACAAAAACTACTACTATTGGTATATTTAAAAAAGGTAATAAAGTCATTTACAAAATATTCCCCATACTCCCTCAACACACTTCTCATAAACCGGGTTGGAACCCTCCACTCTCTAGGCCTTGGTTTCCTCATCTGTAAAATGTGCTGAATGGAGAACCTCTTTTGGGTTGGCCTAGTTTAGATATACATGCTGCAGTCTTGAGCAATATTGAATAACCCCTCTCATCTGGGTGAATCATCATTCAATTCCACCAGTTAAGTGCCTATTATTTCCAAGGTACCAAGCGATACAATCCCTAATCTGCCTAATGTCTCTCTTATTTTTTAAACTGGAAGGTTATCTAGTCTGCCCCACTCCTTCTGTATGTTGCCTGTTACTTATTTATTTTTTTTTATTTCCCCCAGCTAGATTGTAAAGTCTTTAAGGACAGGAACAATCTAATCTTGAAGAGTTTATTTCTGCAAAAGGTAGAGGGCAGGTATATAATATTGATAAAGCTGGGTAAATGCAAAGTAGTTTGAATGGAGAAGGGAGGGACACAAAAGGGGATAGGATGAGGGAGAATCCATCTTCCCAACTGGAAAAATGGCAGAGGTTTAATAGGGAGGTGGTGCCAGAGCTGAGCTCTAAAGGATACACATGCTTGAGAGGCAAAGGTAAAGATGAAGAATGTTCCAGGACTGAGGAATAACTTGTACAAATGCACAGACAGAAGATGGCACATAGCTCTTGGAATGGCTACTGGTCTGGTTTGGCTATAGATATACAGTGCATAGAGGGAGATGTTTCAAACACGACAGGTACAAAACAGAACCCATCATCTGTCCCTTCTAAAACCGTGTCTAATATATTGCCAAATACTGTAGTTCTTACCTTCGTGACATCTCTAGTATATGCCTCCTCCCTGATGATGATATAGCCACAACCTTAGTTCGGACCTGTAGGACTTATTGTTTGGACAACTGCATTAACCTCTGAAGACAATTTTTCACTTTTTATTTCCTTCCATTGATTTCTATTATGCCAATCCTCCTGGCACATTGGACATTGTAACATTTTGGATATCTCAAGCCTACCTCTTGTTATATTAACCTTACCTGGCTAAAACCTGTCTCATGGGTGGTAGTATTAAGGGAGAAGTTTTTTTTGACATTCCACAGATAAGAAGCCAAAGGGGAGTTTGATCTTCGTGAAGTTATTTGGCTATTTGTAGAAGGATTCCTCTGATGCAAACTATGTAGACATGTAAATTTCCCCTCTAAATTGGCCCATTGTGAACCCTCGAACTTTAGTCTAATCTATAGCCTGACTAGTTTACCTATAAAGTTTTTTTTTAACTAGTTTTGTTTCCTTAAGGGTTGTATGAGATTGTTATTCTGTTTAACTAAGTTTGTTTAACTTTCATGGCCTCAGAGGATGTACTAGATTGCTGTAGGTCAAAAAATATTTTTCTGCCTCTCTCTTGTAATTTTGTCCATAAAAAGTCTCATTAGAATCCTAGTCTTTGTTCAGGGTTATTTTTCTGCCTCCTGAACCTGTGCTCATGTGTAACAAAACCTACATTTTTAACTCTATAATTTCTGCATTGTAGTAGATTTGTATGGCCTTATGTGAACTCTGACATTTCTCCTATAATAATTCTGTTTTCTGTGTCTCAAGTCCATCCCTACTGCAATCCATCCTTTTCTCAGGTGCCCAAGTGGTTTTTTCTGAATCACAGTTTTAATTGTCTCACAGCTACAACCCCCCCCTCCTCCTTTTCCTTCCTCCCCAAGCTCCAGGGGCTCTTTATTACCTCCAGGATCTAATTTAAAGTGCTTTGACATTCAAAGTTCTTCATAACTAGGCCCTTTCCTATCATTCCATCGTTCTTGCGCTTTACTGCATTCCTTGTAAGTCACTCATTCAGTCAGTAAACATTTATTAAGCATCTACTATGTACCAGGCATTGTGCTAGGCACTAAGGATACAAAGAAAACTAAAAGATAATTCCTGCCTTCAAGGAGCTCACAATCCGATGTAGAAGATGACATACAAACAACTATGTACAAACAAGATACGTACAGGATAAATTGGAAATAATCAAAAGAGGGCAGGTTCGAAGATTAGGAAGAAGAGCAAACATCTTTCCGTAGAAGGTAGGATTTTAACTGGGACTTAAAGAAGCCAGGGAAGCAACAGTCAGAGGGCGAAAGCATTTCAGGCATGGAGGGGTAGATAGACGAAATGCCTGGAGATGGGAACTGGAATGTCTTGTTCAAAGCACAACAAAAATCACAGTTAATGTAAGAAATTTCGGGTTAATGCTTGTAACAAAATGAGAAAAAAAAGTAATGTTTGAGATTCTAAAAGTTGTTTTTCCTGTCTTCTTTTTCTATGTATGCAGATTTCATTCTTGTGAAATCAACGTATAAGTCTGTGGCAGACTTGACTTTCAGAAGAAATGAGACTGATAAATAGGTTATCAGATTTAAAGTTTTTTAATCCATTATGGTGCTGTTGAGCAAATGTGTCCTTTCTAATTTGAAATACTTAATATAATTTATTTTTAAGTAACTCAAAATGTTGGGATGGAGAGGCATCTATGATATAAAGGATAGGAAGGTGGCCCTGGAGACATGAAAACCAGGGTTCAAATCCTACCTATGTATGACATATACTGACTGGGAGCCTGGCTAGATCACAAAACTTCCCAGTGACCCAGGCATACATCTCTCTAAGGCTGCAAATCATAGAATAATTGCCTGCCTTTATTAGTGCAGCGAGTTTCATAGGAGGTCCCCAAAAGGATGGAGTCACAGGTCTGACGAGAGAAGAGATGGACAGACACACAGACACACACAGAGAATGAATGAATGATTAATGTCCTTTCTGATGACTTTGATTCTAACTGCCAGAGCTCATTTTAAAAGGGTGCATCTAAGTTTGCATGTGACATTTTTGAATTGGTCAACATTCATTGTCAAGTAATTTTTTTTTAAATTTTGAATAATTATAGTTATTTCAACACTTTTCATTTCCCCTTCAGGTTTGTGGAAGGGATGCTTAATATTTGTTACAATGCTCTAGACCGCCATATTGAAAATGGACAAGGAGACAAGATTGCAATCATCTACGACAGCCCTGTGACGAACACAAAAGTCACTGTTACCTATAAAGAAGTTTTGGAACAGGTAGGTTTTCTATATGCAGATTGATCATGTGATGTGGGGATTAAATATTGACATGACTCAAATGGGTCTATGATCTCGTTTCTGATATTGCTTCTGATAATCCGCATGACAACTTATCCTTGCCTGCCCATCCTGTATGACTCAGATCTCTGTCCTCTGCCAGAGGCAGAATGGAGGTTGCTCAACCTATTTTCTCTTGACCTATGTGACCCTGGACAAGTCGCTTAATCTTGATTTGCCTCAATTTCCTCATCTGTTAAATGGGGATAATAACAACACCCACCTCCTAGGATTGTTGAGAGGGTCAAATGAGATAATAATTATAAAGCTCTTAACAAAGTGACTGGCACATAGTAGGTTTTATATACATGTTAGCTATCATCATCATCATCATCATCATCATTATTATTCACGAATTATATAGGTTCTCCACGGATTATCCCTCAATCTCTCTATGTCACTATCCCATTTTCCTTTTGTTTTTACATTTCTAGGATGACATTTTTCCCATTTGGTTCCCCTTCATAATTGCTTGTTCATAAAATGCCTCAGATGGTCTGTTCTTAACTACCATGACCCTCTCTATTCCTCTGTAGATGGTATTCATTTTCATTCTTTTGGGAACAGTGGTGTTCTGTAAAATGCAGCCTTCTAACTTACCTTGTCAGTAGAATGTTGGTACTAAAAACATGAGCCTTTTTATTGCGGAGTAGTGTGGATTCATTACCATGGGATAGTGGATACAAAATTAGCACTGGGGGTAGCTCGGTGGTGCGCTGGATAGAGCACTGGCCCTGAAGTCAGGAAGGACCTGAGTTCAAATGTGACCTCAGACCAGACACTTGACACTTACTGGCTGTATGACCCTGGGCAAGTCACTTAACCCCAATTGCCTAAAAAAACAAACCAAAGACAAATAAAGTCAGCTCTGGAGTCAGGAAGCCTTGCGTTCAGGTTCTGCTGTGATATATGTGAGAAATAACTCATTTAAACTCAGGAGGGGTAAAAGCCCATTTTATTACACAGTTGCAACCTCGGGTGTCCTATGGATTTGGACACAATGTACCAAAGCAAGAGTTCACTATGTATCTCTAATCACGGCTGCCAAGTCCCTCCTTTTTCCTCATTGGCTGAGTACTCCAAAGTGTACCACACCTGTTACATATCTACTCTTTGACATGTCCTCCCTCCCTCTACATACATAGCATGTTCAGAAAATGGCATTTTAGCCCTGCTTGGAGGTGGAGAAGTTAGTATTCATGAGCCTATTAAGCATGTGCACTCTAAGCAAAGCTTAGCCTTTGTCCTACTTAGTGACTTCTAACAGCAGAACAAGATAAGACCTGCTTTATCCCATTTTTACTTAGTTACTTTTCTAGCAGTTGTTTCAATTTTATGGAAATAAATATTTTCATTATATCTCTCCTATATGCTAGGTGTGTAAGGAAGTTACCTTATAATTCTTATAATGCCTCAGACAGATCTCTAATGCTACAGGCAGCAAGGTCTAGTGGAAAGAGCAATGGACTTAGAGTCACAGGACCTCAGAATCCTTGCTCTGTCATTTATTACTTGGGTGATCTTAGGGAAATTGCTTATCTTCTTTGGGCCTCAGTTTCCTCATCTGTAAAATGAGGGCAGTTGGACTAAATGATCCCTGTGGTCTTTTATATCTCTAAATCTGTTGGTCTAAGTTACAAAAGAGTTATTGATCTGCATCAGGGAAGAGCATTTCCACAACACAGAGTACTACACAGTGATGAAATCATGGATCCAGATTAGAAAACAGATTGTGTAATTAGTCAGTAGATATCACTAAGTGGTGCTTAACCAGCTAGGGACAGGGATATAGATTGAACCTTTGATACTGTGGAATCCCATGCGGTAGAGCTTGAATCAAGTACTAAGAGTTGCTTGACCATCTAAGGATAGATGTATTGACTAGAACTGATTTCACTGGCACAGAGAAGTCCTTGGTGAGAAAACTCCTTCGGCCAACGTAGTACTACCTGTTCCCTAAGTCTGGCAACCTGGAATACTGAAAGGTTAAGTGATTATATAGCCAGTATGTGTCAGAGGTGTGACTCGAACTCGGGTCTTCTTGGCTCTGAGAACAGGCCTCCATAATGTCTTGTTGCTACTGCTTGAACTGACAATTAATAATTAATATCTACTCCATTACAGTTCTCTTTCCATTTATGTTGATGAGCCAAAATGAGTTATTGATTTAGATATCTGAATTAATCATGAATGTATAGGAAATGGCATGGGATCTCAGAAGCAAAAATTTAGAGGTAGAAAAGATCCCAAGAGGGGTACCTAGGAGGCGTGGTGGATAGAGCACCGGCCCTGGAGTTAGGAGGACCTCAGTTCAAATCCATCCTCAGACACAACACTCGCTAGCTATGTGACTCTGGGCAAGTCACTTAACCCCAATTGCCTCACCAAAAAAAAAAAAAAAAAATGGATTCCAAGAGGCCAAAAAGTTCAACTCGCTCCTTTTACGTATGAGGAAACTGAGCCCAGAGAGTCTAAGTAACTCCTTCCTTCCTTCCTTCCTTTCTTTATTAGGGTTAAGTGATTTGCCCTGGATCACATAGCTAGTAAGTATCTGAGGTCAGATTTGAACTTGGGTCCTCCTGACTCCAGGGCCAGCGCTCTACCCACTGTGCCACCTAGCTGCCCCCAAGAGTCTAAGTACCTTTTCTAAATTCACACAGCTACTTTTTATGAGGCAGGATTTCACTGCAGGTCTTCCTGACTCTTAAGTCCACCAGTCTATCCTTTACACTGCTTGGCTGCCTCATTATTAATATACCATTAATAAGCAGCATTTATATCATTGAAGAGAAAATATTATTAACATTAGTAAAAAGTAACAGTCACTTAATTGGCAACTGCTGCAGCATTATTAGTTTCCTGCTATAGGCTTGGATTATTTTCTACCGGCCAAGGATTTTCCTTGCTTGGGAGGATGCGAACCATCTTTTTAGATGGCACACTATTTATCATTCTAATTAAGCGCTTATTTGTGCATGGCTTTGTTAAGGCGTCATACAAAGGAAGTTAAGATGATACAGTCTGTACCTTGTGGGAGTTGAGAAAGTAGGGCAAAAAAAAATTGGTTCTACAAATTAGCAACATTAGATACTTCCTACATTACAAGCATAGACATTTTCTAGGATGGAATGTGAGTTTTGCCGACTGAGTGCTTTTTGTAAGGTGCTGTTGAGAAAATCTTGGTGAGCCCTGCAGATTTAGAGGAAGCAAAGCTATTACCACTTCTCCACTTAAAGAGATGATGTTTCAATGAGGGGAGAAATGAGGCACATGGTAGACTTAGCTTGGGAAATGACTGGTGGGTGGTGTTTAGTAAAATAGTCACAAAACAGTAGAGGAAATGGAATAAGGCAAATGTGGTGATGCAATTGAGATCCCACCCTCTACTTGAAGCCCTTTCCCATATCCCTGGTTTGTAAATGATCTTTTTTTTTTTTTCCTGAAGGGGCAGAATGAAATAGTGAATAGAGCACTGGGCTTAGAACAGCTTAATTTGACCCCTGCTTTTGGCACTTACTGTAGAACACTGGGAAAATCACTTAACCTCCTGATGTCTGTTTTCTAATCTGTAAAATGAGGGGATGAAACTTGATGGCTCCAAAAGTTCAGTTCTAAAACTATGATCATAAAATTCCCTAAGTCTGCAATAATTTAAAAACCAATGCCCCACATTGTTCTCTGTGTAGCCATGTAGGACTTGGGCTATCTACCTAGTATCCCTTAACTCTTGCAGTATGTAATACTCTTGCACCTCTTTTGTTTGACATACATGTCCTGGATATCTTAAGTTCCACTTCTTGCATGAAGATTATTGTTAATATGGTGCAACCTCCAATAACCTACCGTGCATCTCTTCATTTTCCTCCATCACAGGGTATCAGGAAGCTAATATATATATAGGGGTTATCTTTTGCCTTTAACATCAATGACTGAACATGATGATCTCAAACATTGCCCACAGCCCCTAATAAAATGTCAAGCATATTACAGGTGCTCAATAAATGTTTGCTCAATCAAATGCTGGATTGAAAGCCACAGCTTGTTTAAGTGTTTTGATAGAATTGATTCTTTCTGAAGAATTCTAACTGATTTAGTAGGTGTTTGAATATAGGTAGTACTTAAAAATAGCAATGAAAGGAAGGAAAAGTTAATTTGCTACATTTAATAGGAAATGAAGACAAAAGTAAGAACAAATATTTCATTTATGCTTTAGGCCAGCCTTTTCCTTAATCATCATGGGAGCAATGCCACCAACACTAACCACTGACCAACTCCCACCAATAGGCAAGTAAACCCAAGAACCCCAGGGATAGGAGTACTGTCTAAACTGCAGTTCCTGTGACCCTGACAGCTATTGCCTCAAGGAGCAACCCTTGTGGAGTTAGAATCTTGGAATTCCTGCCACCACCGACACCATTTTCACAGATGATTAGGTAAACCAGAAACCACAGTGTGATCAAGGAAGGGATGAGTGATAGTACCATCAGGTAAGCCAAACCACTGCTGTTACTCCAGCTACTGTCTTTTCATGGACTCTACTGGAGGATTCAGGATCCAAAAGCCCCGTAAATACCAGTGCTCCCAAGCCCACCAACCCTGCTTCTGGTCTTTCCACAGCAGCCGTTGCTTGGGAGAGCAACCTCATAAAGACATGATGTGGTAACTTCTTCTGAAAGTACTATAGAAAATTCCCTCTTGTGTGACCCTGGGCAAGTCACTTAACCCCAATTGCCTAAAAAAAAAAAAAAAAGAAAATTCCCTCTACCAAAGTTCTTGGCACCTTCATTTGAAGTCCAGTTTCAGAAACAGAAATGCTTTTTATCAGTGGAAATGATGATACATAAGATGCATTACCATCTGCCTTGTGCTGCATCTTAAGGACCACTGGGCCTTTTTTTCATTTGTTCTGTAGCTAAAACTACTTATATGTGTTATCTTCA